GTCAATTACCATATGAAATTTCCGTATCATCATGTCTCTGATGTATGTAGACCTGTAAATGGTTTGGTATGTCATAGATATGAACGAGTTTTGAAAGGAAGGATAAATCCAGCGAGTGAATTGGTGATATGTAACCCTAGCACAGGACAATCCTTTACTTTACCTAAAATGAAGACAAGAATTTGGAAATATATGAGGAGCTTTTTCGGGTATGATCCGATTGTGAAACAGTTTAAGGTATTGTCAATGGCTTTGGAATATGGAAAAGGTAAGGACATCTCTAAAGACCATCAAGTTTTGACATTAGGAACAGAGAAACTGTCATGGAGAATGATTGAATGTGGCATACGCCATCATCCGCTACGTGATGGTATATGCATTGATGGCGTTTTGTATTACAAAGCTGGGGTCAACGATATGTCTTATGGAGATATGATCATTTGCTTTCATGTTAGGTCTGAGAAGTTCACTGTTGTTAAGGTCATGGAACCTTTTATTAGAGCAGTGTGTCCACAAGCAACTCTGATAAACTACAATGGTAAGTTGGCTTCACTTATTCCGGATCAGCCTTGCGTTTTTAGTGCAACAAATGGAAGTTTTGCGCTATTCGTTCTAGAAAACCCAGAAAAACAAGAATGGTCAAAGCATATTTACAAATTGCCTATGTGTCAAAATCTACTTGCCGATAAATACTTACAATTTGCTGGAGTGACTGGTTCAAATGAAATCGTGTTGTCGTCGCTATGGTATCCTAAAGACCCTTTCTACGTTTACTACTACAATATCGAGAGGAAGACAATCAAAAGATTTGAAATCCTAAGAATGGAAGCGTTTACGGAGCGTCGAGTTTATATTTTTCCAGACCATGTAGAGGACGTGAAGCTTATGCAAACTTTTTAGGACCTATAGCTAGTTTGGCTCTCAAGTTCTCATCATAATGATCATGGGATCTTAATAAATCCTTAAACTTTCCACTGGTTTTCTCTAGTTATAACTTTTTTTTTGCTTATTGGACAATTATTTTCTGTTATTCATCTTTTCTAGATACCATTTATCCTCTTGTTCAGAGTTATACGCTTTGGAACGTGGTTGATAAACTAATATTTCACAGGTAAGCGAACCATCAACGAAAAAAGCTAGTAACGAATCAGAAAGAAAATCAAATGCATTTCCGATTCCAGTAAAATGTATCTACAACAAAAAGCAAACTACTGCAGAAAACCAATTAATGTACCATTATTGTAACATGAAAAACTAGGCAGACACAACATATTTATCTATGGAGAAATTTCTATATGCAAATCGAATTAGATCAAGCAGAATCGCTAGGAGGAATGCCTAAAAAGCCTTGGAGTTCAGACTCGGTGGGAAGGTAGCCTTTGAAGAAATCGGTGAGAGGAAGCTCACTGTTGTCATCGAAACTCAAGGGAGAGCATCCGCCTTGACCGGACGAATCACCACCAGTCGATGCTTTATCCAGAATCTGTCATGCGTTCAACAAAAGAAAACTATTGAAAACGTTAATCAATAAATCCTCACAAGATATGAAAGTTTTTACCAATTGGGCCATTTTGGGATCAATCCCTGGAACCGCCAACTGTAGGTCATGAAGAGAGTTTGGAATGTCTCCATTATATTTCACTAGACACGTTTTAGCTACTATCTTCATAAATGTAGCCTTGCTACTATCAATTCCAGCCTGAAAAATAAAGTCAAGAGACCCTTTTCTTTTTACTTGGCATGAAAATCAAGAGGATAATCTCAGAGGCTTTTGAATATCGAGAAGTACATACCGAGTAGATCAAATTTGTTATGGTTGATTCATCAGCTTTGTCAATGGCTTCAGGAGTGAGAAGGCCGTTTTGATGAAGACGACGTATAGCTGGAATGCAGAGGATTCATTTGAGAGTGTAGTAGAACGATTGCACAATTCTTATCTTTTAACGACACAAAACTACTCACCTAACAAAACCTTATCTTTTGGATGTATTGAAAGTAGTGATCCTAGCAAGAGAGCAAATCTTCTTTCCTAGATATAGCAAACAAAAAAGTATATGATCAGTAGTGACAAGAACAATCCATGTGATCAAATATGACAACAACAAATGCAAAGATAGAACAGGATATATAATTTCCTAAGCTATTCACTAGCAATACGTAGCATCAAAATTTACCAGAAACTTGAGAACAAAAGCCGTTTTGTGGTAAACAGAAAAGCCTCAAGCGCAAGGAGCTAGAAACTAAAACGTAATCTCATACCTCCACACAAAATCTAGAATCAAGTACTGGTGCATCTTCAGAAGATGTCATTTGACGAATACCATCTAGAACTTTTAGCCAGTTTTCAGGCGGATTTCCTAAGAGTAAAATCATAAGATTAATACATAAGCAGTTTCTGTGAATGAAGAATCTGTAAAGTAGAAACCTCATTAACTCTATCATTAAGAGATTTGCTGCGTGATAAAATACCTGCTGATTTGACTGAAGTCGCAGTGATACTAGTTTCCGTTGATCTCCCTGCAAAAACCAAGTAAAGAATTTCTCTTGGCTGTTTAAGGAAAAGGCTAAGAATGTGCTTGATGATCGATAAAGTATTTCCTACCAACTACTTTTTGCTACTAGTATGTAAAGTAGTCCAGTATCTATGGCTATTTCTTTCTAATCAAGTTACTGAGATAAAGTTTTACTGAATAGATAAACAAGGATTACTTACAAAGTCAGTACTTAGAAGATAACGAGTTGGACAAAGGAGACTTACTTGATGAAGAAGATTCAGTTTCTGTTGTGTTCTCGTCCTTGGGAACTAGGGCAAAATAGAGTTTCCCATTCTCTTGCTTTGATCGGAAACACCATAAAGGAAACTTCTCCCGAACTTTAAACAAGTCCGTGTTAATCACGTTTATCCATCCTTTGGCTAGAACTAGGTTTTTCTTCCACTTCTTCAATTCAACATTGTGCTTTTCTTTCTCACTATCAAGAAACACTACACTTACACCTTGCTTGCGATGCTTGTCTTGAGGGTTTGATTCTAGGGTTCTTATTTCTTCCTCCGTCAAATAATCAGAACACACCACCTGATTTGGTGGGAACAAGAGCCGAGCTTGGCGTTTAGTGAGATCACTTGGGAACAATTCTTTTTCCTTTATTACCAATTTTGCATCGTATCCATTGTATTTCTTCATCGCCTCCACAAGCCAATACGGAATATTAGGGTTTTCGTTTCGTGTGATTGTCAAGCCAGTGGAAGAAGACGGCCCGGGAGAAGTGACGGAGCTTTTTGCTGTTTTGAGCCACTGTGATGGTAATCTTCGATGCTTAAGATCACTACGTTTCCTTCTTGGTACTTCATCTCCAAAGAGAATGGAGTCTTTCTCCATCGTTTCTGATATTGTTCTCGAAGAATAGAGAGAAAAAAGAAGGTTGCTTTTTGTGC